AAGACGGGTTCAACACCGACGACGGAGCCTGCGACGCCATCCGGAAAACGCCAGGAAACCGCGAACAACGAAGCCGAAGGCCCGATCACTCTAGCCGAAATAGAGAGAGCAGTCGAGAAGCTCAAAGCGAAGGCATCAACCGACCCGGAAGGCCTCTGCCCCCAAGTTTACAAAGCGATGGAGAAGGGCACCCTCCAGGCACTACTGAAGGTAATCAACGCGTCGTGGGACAACGCGACGATCCCAAAGCCGTGGAAAGAGGCTCATGCCATACCCCTTCCGAAGCCGGGAAAAGACAAGTCCGAACCAGCAGGATACCGCCCAATCTCGCTGACGAGCGTCGCGGCAAAGATCATGGAAACGGTGATCAGGGAAAGGCTCGATTTCATCATCGAAGGAGACAGCTACCCTCACGTCCGACCATTCACGGAGTGCCAAGGTGGCTTCCGGAAAGGAAGGGGGACAGAAGAACAGCTGTTCAAGACCGTGACGACCGTTGACCGCAGCCTCCGGGACGAATGCCACACTTGCCTACTCGTGTTCGACCTCGCAAAGGCATTCGACACGGTAGATCACGACAGACTCATCGCGATCATGAAGCGTCGCGGCATTCCGCCGAAGATAGTGAGGTGGGTCGAGGCCTTCTTGCAGGACAGGAAGGCAAAGTTCCGGGTAGAGGGAAAATACGGCGAAGAGGTGACACTCGAAAGTGGAGTCCCCCAGGGAACTGTGCTCGGACCAGTGTTATTCCTCTTGTACATCGACGACCTCGGCGAAAAGCTGTCCACGATGCCGAAACCAACACGCACCAATCCAAATAGCGTGACCCCATCTCTATTCGCCGACGACGTGGGGGTAGTAGTGGCTGGTCGCTCGGCGGCAGGGTTCAAAGAAACAGTCCAACGAGTGGTAAACGCACTCTCAACCTGGGCCTCCGAGGCGAAGATGGACCTGGCGTACAAGAAGACGGAGGCTGTTCAATTCCGCCCGATCGACAAGTCTGGCAACCGACCCGCGAACATGCGAAGGAGGGTCCACCCACCTCTGATCACCTTCCCGAACTCGCACCAAAAAGTCACTGAGGCACCAACCGAATTCGGCAGGAAGGCACACGAGCAAGATGGGGCGCTCCGCTACATCGATCCATCCAGCCCACACAACAAGAAGAGGATAGTGTCAATCGGCGGAGTGCCAACGACAACGCAACCGCAATGGAGACGAAATATCCATCGAATCGGGGAGACGGCCCAAAACCCCATAGAGTTCACGGTGGTGTCAGACCTTCAGTGGAAGGACAAGGTAACACTCCTGGGGCTGACGATCGACGACAGACTGAACTTCACAGCTCACATAGATCGCATACTGCAGAGCGCTGGGCGGAGGGTAAATCTGGTACAGCTGGTATCCGGGACGAAGTGGGGCCACAAGACCGAAGTGCTCAGAGCCCTCTACATGGCATACGCCCTGCCGGTCTTAACCTACGGCATGGCAGTCTACATCCGTTATGCATCGAAGAAGGACGTGGACAGGATAGAGTGCCTGCATCGAACCGCACTCTGCGCCGTGGTTGGCTGCAAGAAGACGACGTTGACGGAAGCTGTCCTCACCGAGGCACGAATGCTGCCAATCAGGTCGATAACCGACCTCAGGACAGGCGCGCTGGCGGAAAAGATGGCCACGAAGACCATGTGGAAGGACGTGCTGCATCCGCGACGAACCAACGACACCCTCCCGCAGTCCTTCCTCATCCTCAAGAAGACGGCGCGAACATCGAAGCCACGGCGGGAGAAGCACGCACCAAATCCCTTCCCACCTTGGAAGCCGCCACCAGAGCTCCACATCTGCGCTTCACTTCCAAAGAAGTCGAAAAGCGCCGAGGAAAACCGGAGAAAGGCAGAGGCAGTCCTCGACGGATTGCCATCCCCGACATACATCGTCTGGACGGACGGATCGGTTGCGGCGCTGAAGAGAAGACACGCACAGTACCAGCTGCTCCACGGTACAACCGTAACAACCGACGAGGTCACGAGGTGGGGTGGCGCAGGTCTCGTGGTGTACTACCGCCGAGAAGAAAGCTGGAGAGACGCGACGCCGATGAAAGGGACCCGCCTAAGCCGTCAGGCCGGTAAGTGGGCAACCAGCTACCGCGCGGAGCAAGTGGCGATGAAAATTGCGCTGGAATCGCTGGAGCTGAAACTGGGAAAGAGGGAGGTACTCGAAGGAGAGCCTACCAGCAGACACATCTGGGTGCTCAGCGACTCCAGCTCCCTTCTGAACGTGCTGTCCCAAGGTCCGCACAAACAGCAAGAACGGGACAACGTCCGAATCTGGCAGGCGCTCGAGAAACTGGTTGCGAAGGGGTATACACCAGTACTCCAGTTCGTCTACGGCCACTGCGGACTAGCAGGGAACGAAGAGGCGGACGGGCTAGCGAAGCAGGGCGTCTCGCAGACCGGAGAAGAAACGCAGCCGCCGATGACGGTAGGAACCGCGAAGGCCCGGTACCGCGAGCACGCCTGGGAGGCACTACACGCGGCTTCAATGCGGGAATCCCCGTACCAACCGGGCGGGCCGCTGCCGTACACGCAGTTGGTCCGAGGACGGAAGGTCCCAAAAACGGCACACCTGACGAGGCGAGCCGAGCGCGAGATCCGCCAGCTTCGCACGGGACACCACCAACTCCTCAGGAACTGCTACCGGGACGACTGGATGGATCTCGCAGCAGAAGAGAGGCAAGCAACCCGCCCATGCCAGCTTTGCGACGCCACGCCGATCTGCCCCCTAACACACCTTTTCCTGGAATGCAGAATCGGGGGCGACGAGAGAGCGACCATGTGGAGACGGGTCCACAAGGCCATCCCGGACACACCAAGGGAAAAGCCGACACCCAGGGAAAGGCACAAGCTGCTTTGGCCGCTGCTCTTCGAGCTCCCTGAAGCAGCCCTCGCGTACCTTCAGGCCGTGGGGCTTGTGCCGAAGTACGAGGTCTACGAAGACCCACCTGAGCCCGGCACACCGGAACTCGACGGCAACATGGCGGCAGCAGCAACCAATGGCGTCGACAACACCTTCGACCTCGAGGGATCAAGCTCCGAGGATGCCGAAGGATGGGCATAGTTCGGGCCGGGTCGGAAGACTGAGGCGGCAACACACCCGGCACATCCGTGCAAAGCAACCTCACCCGACCGCCGGTGCAGGCGCAACAGGGCTGCTGAGTGCGAAGCGCGAATCAGTACGCTGACGGCGCAGTCCAACACCAGACGCACACACCCGGCACTACACAGTCCCCACGGCCACCGACCAACCGCCGCAAGGCGGCAGCAGTAAACCGGCAGCACGACAACGGAGACGCAGGCGCCGACGAACAGCCGAAGCCCGCACGCCGACACGGACGCAGCCGGTCACCGGACCGAACAGCACCTGAGAACAATAAGAAAAGAGAGGGGAAAAAAAGAAGGCAAACAAAAGTACCACCGCAGCAGCGCAACAGCGCCGCGACCGAACACGACTACCAACGAAGGGTAGACTCGGTGCACCGACAGCACACCCACCTGACCATAGGAAGGTCCAAAAGGGTGGAGTGAGCACTGGAGCGGTCACTGAGGCAGATAGGTAGCTGCAACACAAGAACAGTGCATTAGCAACCAAAACAAAAAAAGACAACCCTCCGGGCCGAGAGCGGACAATGAGCACGGGATAGAACAGCGTCAGAAACACCAGCCCGGTGTTTCCGACTGCCGGAGACGACCTGGCCAACGGACCGCACCACGCAGAGTGAGCACTGGAGCGGTCACTGAGGCAGACAGGTAGCTGCAACACAAGAACAGTGCATTAGCAACCAAAACAAAAAAAAGACAACCCTCCGGGCCGAGAGCGGACAATGAGCACGGGATAGAACAGCGTCGGAAACACCAGCCCAGTGTTTCTGACGCTGCCGGAAGCGACCAGGCCAACGGACCGCACCACGCAACAGCGCCGCAAAGCGAAACAGAGACAAGCAGCAAGCTCAAAGGCCCCGGAAGGAAGAACAAAGTAGAGGCAGGCGAAGCGCCCAACGGACCGCACCACGCAACAGCGCCGCAAAGCGAAACAGAGACAAGCAGCAACCAAACCAGCCCCCCCCGACCGAAGCGGAGGACCGACTCAACAGGCAAACCCTGGCACGCCAGGGTTTACCAACAGAAGTCAGAACACCGCCCGGAAGGGAGAGCCGCACAACAAGTCCAAAAAATACCCCCCACCAACTGCCGAAAAAGAAATACCTTTCCCTTACCTTGTCCCACAAAACCAGAACCAATAACAACGCCCCCCCCCCAAGCACGCAAGAGAAGCCGAGTCCTGCCAAAACAACAGACAACGTATTAACCCCCCGTTTCAGTGCTACACGCACCACGCTCAACAACAACCCACAAGAGCGAAGGCAGCAGGACGGGCAGCGGCAGCGAAACAGCGCCACGCGCCCGACAACAACAGGAAAGTCCCGAAGCGAAAGCAAACCCCCCCCGACCGACACGGAAGACCGACTCAACAGGCAAACCTGGCACGCCAGGGTTACCAAAAGACGTCAGAACACCGCACCGGAAAGGGAGGGCGAGCGAAGGACGAAGCCACAACAAAACCAAGGAAAAACAACCATCACTGCACACAACACGCAGAGCCAAGCAGCATATCAGCAGCGAACCAAAGCAAACCCTTGACAAATTACTATCACAGGCAACTGACAGCGCGACAATCGCCGGAAACACACCGACCGCGACTGGTAAAGCCTGGCACGCCAGGACATCATTACCAAAACAGCGGCAAGAAACAAGGGGAGGGCGGGCAAGAAACAATCCCACTGAACCCCCCCACAACCATACCAAGAACGAACGAAAGGAAACAGAAAACAAACAAACGCCCCAAGGATGAAGAGAAGGCACAAGGAACCTTAGCACCGTATCCCCAAGCCTAACCCGGGTGCGGTTTCCAAATGTTGAAATTGAAATTGAAATTTGTAAGCGGCCCACCTAGCTCAGCGGTAGAGCGTTGGACCTTTAATCCAATGGTCGTGGGTTCGATCCCCACGGTGGGTGCTTTTTCGAACGGGTGAATGCGGGGGCTAATTCCCACTCTCGAACACAATTTAACTTTTTGCCCATTCTCGAACACTCGCTAACTTTTTGCCCATTCTCGAACACTTTTTAACTTTTTGCCCACTCTCGAGGGCTAATTCCCATTATAGAACTGTTTTTAACTTTTTGCCCATTCTCGATAACTGTGTGCCCATTATAGAACATTCCGCTAACTTTGTGCCCATTATAGAACATTCCGCTAACTTTTTGCCCATTATAGTACGTGCGCTCGGCTAAGGCCGGCGCGTGGCGAGACTGGAGGCAGCAGTTAAAGTTCGGGGAACAGTAAAGTTCGGGCTAAGCTAAGTTCGGGCAATGCTGGTGAAGCTAAGTTCGAGTGATGCTAAGTTCGGGCGTTGCTAAGTTCGGGCGTTGCTAAGTTCTGGTGCTAAGCGCTCAGGCTGCGCTGGTACTAAAAAAAAGTTCCGGCACGAGCGAAGTTCGGCCAGGGTGGTAAAGTCCGGTGAAGCCAAGGTCGGTGCTCGTGCCCGGGGGGGGACACCCCCCCCGGACCCACCGAGTACGGGAAAAGTTTGGCGCTGGTACCCGGGTTTGCGCCCCCCCGGACCCCCCCGCCGCCCCCCGGCGAAGCAGAGTTCGGGCGCAGCTAAGTTCAGACGATAATAAGTTCGAGTGATGCTAAGTTCGGGCGCAGCTAAGTTCTGGTGAAGCAAAGTTCGGGCGCAGCTGAGTTCGGGCGAAGCAACGCTCGGGCGAAGCTAAGTTCTGGCGAAGCAAAGTTCGGGCGCTGCAAAGTTCGGGCGATGCTAAATTCTGGTACGGGCGCAGCTGAGTTCGGACGAAGCAAAGTTCGCGTGAAGCTAAGCAAAGTTCGGTTCTCGTAGCAGTTTGGCCTGTGATGGCAAGCTCGGCCGCCCGACTCCGTTTCCCGGGGTGACCAAATACCGCGAGATACTGAGAAACTCCGCCAAAAACGCAAATTTCGGGCACATAAGACCCCGAAACCCAACAAACCTCGAAAACCATCTTCGACCGGAAAAGTGTGAGGGGCGGGGTTCGAACCCGGGCCGACCGGCCTGAAGGCCGGCGCCCGCTCACTCTGCCACCCCCGTGCATTTTCCCAGAAGGGAAAAAAGCTTACTCTGAACTATTATCCAGTTCAAAAACAATACGGTTTCATAATTGTTGCAAGAAAAGCCGGGTTGGCTCGAATAGAGGCTGTTCACATTGCATGTTCATAGGACCTCCAGTCTCGAAGAACATTGCTAAATCGTCACTTCTGGGACTCGATACCCCAACCTCCAGGCTGCCAAAATCTTGGGTCTAAGTTTTGGTTCCCAACTCGGGTCCAGGTTTGGTCCAAGTTTTGGGTCAGGTTTTGGGCTCAAGTTTCGGTCCACGCGGGCCCGGTCTGAAGTCTGGGCCTAATTACTGGTAGCGCCAGGCCAGTAACCTGGTAACCAGACTGGTCCTGGACCTGGATTATGTCATCATGCCACGGAAAAGCCTCGAACAGACCGGGCGGTCGGCTCAGAGTCAGACTGCTGTCAGGCTGCGTGCAGTCTGGGAATCTTTCATCAGCAGCTACGAGCAGGGATAAAAAAGGGGGAAACAATGGAGAACAATGGGCTTCATGTCAGATAGTTTGGAATAGAAAGAGAAAGATAGAGGGAACGAGGGAAGACTTGCAGGAGCGTTGGGGTATTTTACCTCGGCCTAAAAGGTCGAGGTCACAGGGGGATGGGAGGGTGGGCGTTTTGGTTCTTGAGTAGCACACACCCCCCTCCTCCTGGTAGACTGACTGTGTTGTCCTGCTCTGGGTTTGATGTCCGATTCCCACAGTGAAACTGAGATAGTGTTAGTCTGGCCTCTGGCAGCTGACGCTTGAAGTTGAACTGGTTGTCGTCTATTGATGACCAACCCAAGTTTGGCCCCCATAGCTGTCAGCCACAAGGTTGCCACATTGTGGCCCCATTTAGCCACAAAGTAGCCACAAACCTTGTGGCTACCTTTGTGGCTAATTATGCAAAATTTTGGTATCACGGAAAACCGCGTGGAACTAGCTTTTTCGGCCAGAAAATGCATCTGAAACACATTTTCTGATGATTTTGACAGGTTTTTGGGCCAGCATTTTGGTGAGCTGCTTCACCCTGGGCTCGGCATCCTGGTTGCGCACCCTGGGGTACCATTGGTAAACGGTTTACTAAAACTCTACTGCTACTAAAGTAGTAGTAGGCATTATGCACACAGAATCGTGCATAATTCAGGTTGGCGAGAGTGACAGACCCGTTCTACTTGCAAAGCGCTTACCATTTCTGTCCTAAAACCCTCTGAGAGGGCCTCTCAACCAGCGACCGGCGCTCTCCGAGCCTCTTGAATGACCAGAGGAGGAGTGGGAGAGAGCGGCAAGTACCGCCGCAGCCAATCAGATTTGAATGATGCTAGAAAGCTGCAAAGAAAAGTGTCAGCCGTCTGATAATAGTCAGGAGCTGGCTCTTCAGGAGCTTGAGCTCCCTGCCGCGGGCCTGCGGCCCGTGCTGCCCGGCAGGCTGGGACTGGTATTGTCGGCAAGTCAGCCACCAGAAGCCATTTCCCTTGTGCCCTGGCTGGGGTGCTACAGGAGCCCGCGAGGAATTTCCAAGACGTGTGAGAGATTGCCCGCTACTTTTCTCGGATACTTTTCTTGGCTCCTTCTTGAACTCTTTCGGACATTGATTGCAACAAGTGTAACAGTGCCACTCAGTGACAGCTGTTGGGTACAGGGAGTCAGTCACACTGTCAGTGTGCTCCTGCACTATGCCTGCTGCCGTGTAGTTGCGCTCAACGGCCGCGCACTGCGCACTTTGCAAGCAAGCAAGCAAACTCGCTGGTGACGGGGTAGCTTGCACACCGAGTAGAAGAGCTGTCGTAATTGTGAAATGCTCTGCCGTTTGCTGGGTCGTTGCTGTCCTCCTGCGTATCCCAGAATATCAGCGTGCTTTGTCGTCGTTACTAGTAACCTTAGACCACGGTTGTCACCACCTGCGTGGTTTGGTCCTTTGGCAGGAAAAGTTGGAGACTGAAACGGGTTTGCGGACAAGAGACCCTTTGAACTAAATTGATTCCTTGCCTGCTCCAAAAACCTGTCAACAGAAGCATTGGCAGCTTCGTACTGACTGCTGTCTGAACTATCAACTTCGCTTTCGACGGGTTCGTCTTCCTCCGGTGCACTCTCCGACTCAAAATGTACTAGAATTATGGCATTAGCATTAGTTTTGCGACCGTGTTGGCACGATGCAGCAGCTTGTTGTTGTTTTCTGAACTTTTCAAGCCTTGAATTGCTTCGGTGTTGTACGAAATTACTGATAGAGTTGCCAACGTTGCCGCTGACTCGCGGCTGAGGATACCGAGGCCAGGGCGAAGCAGCTTATCCAAATTCTGGCTCAAAAACCTGTCAAAATCGTCAGAAATTGTGTTTCAGATGCATTTTCTGGCCGGAAAAGCTAGTTGCACGTGGTTTTCCTGGGTACCAAAATTTTGCATAATTAGCCACAAAGGTAGCCACAAGGTTTGTGGCTACTTTGTGGCTCCCAATTAGCCACTAGTGGCTACCTTGTGGCTGACAGCTATGGTTTGGGAACCCAAGTTTGGGACCCAAGTTTGGGACCCAAGTTTGGGACCCAAGTTTGGGACCCAAGTTTGGGACCCAAGTTTGGGACCCAAGTTTGGGACCCAAGTTTGGGACCCAAGTTTGGGACCCAAGTTTGGGACCCAAGTTTGGGACCCAAGTTTGGGACCCAAGTTTGGGACCCAAGTTTGGGACCCAAGTTTGGGTCCCAAGTCTGCAACCCAAGTTTTGGGCACAACCTCAGGAAACCGTAGGCTCGTCACTTCCTGCTGCCGTTGTCAACAGCGTTGATGCCCAGTTGCAGAACCGACTCCTCCGCGTTGGTTGCAAGCATCTTCCTGCGAAAAACAGCTGATTCGAAGACTTGGCAACTCCTTCAGCCGACTTTCACCCAGCTTTTCTCGGACCCAAAACTTGGAGTCCAAGTTGGACCCAAAGTCGCGGCCAAGATTTGGACTAAATCCAACCATTGGACCCAAGTTTGGGAACAATGCTGGTCGCGACGGTCGAGACGTGAAAGCAAACATCACGTACGAAGAGTAATAAACCCGTGTGCAGGTCTCTTCTGCCACGCCGGCGATGCAGAGTACCGCCTGCGTGCTAACACAAACTTGAACTTACTCTTGCCACGAGTCTTGGCAAACTTGGGTCCAAAGTTGGGAAAAGTAGGCACAAACTCAGGAAACCGTACTGTTCAAGTTTTGGACCAGATTTAGACCAAAACCCGTCCTGAAGGTTGTGGTATCGAGTCCCCGAAGTGACGATTTTTAGCGAATGTTCTATAATGGGCAAAAAGTTAGCGAATGTTCTATAATGGGCACAAAGTTATCGAGAATGGGCAAAAAGTTAAAAATAGTTCTATAATGGGCACAAAGTTAAGAACAGTTCTATAATGGGCAAAAAGTTAAGAATAGTTCTATAATGGGCACAAAGTTAAGAAAATGTGCTATAATGGGAATTAGCCCCACTCTCGAACAGTCGCCTAACTTTTTGCCCATTCTCGAACATTGAAATTTGCCCAGGGTGGGATTCGAACTCACCACCCAACATCCAAAAAATCCCAGCCATTTTTGGGTTCGCCATTTCCGATTCCGATTTCCGTCGGATCCGTTCCGAACAAGGTGCCAGCATTGTGGTTGGCTGCTGCGTCCCGGCTCGGTATCCTGGTTGCGCACTGGGCATTGACACCGCAGACTACGGGTAAACGGTTTTCTAAACACAGATTCGTGCATAGTTCAGGTATGCGCGAGTGACCAGCCCGTTCTACTTGTAGCGCTTCCTAATTCTGTGCCGAAACCTCTTCAGAATCAGAGCCACTGTTTTACGTTTTACCACGAGTAGTAACCAGCGACGGGCGCGACGTCACGAATGACTCCAGAGGAGGAGCGGGAGA